CTCTGCCATTCTCATTTCACCAATGTAGCTAAAGTATGAAAGAATAGGAATAAATTCCTTTGTAAAAAATTCTTTCCATCCAAAGACAAATATAGACCTTGGAATAATCTGTGTGCAACATTATTCAAGTATTTAATAACAGAGCGAAGGAGATGTTGCAAATGGACAAAATTGCTTATTTTTTAAAAATCGGCTGAATTGTATTGGCTCAGTCCAAATTGGGTTGAGGTTTTTGGAAAGATTTCTATTACAAGGCCTTGCAAGCTTTCTTGTTATCTCTTACAAATCTCACCTCATTAACTACCTTCCCTGCCCCATAGCATCTTTCACATACAATTCCAGCCCCATCTTACTGTGCACTATTCCCAAAACAACTCCTCGATATCCACCGAAATCCTGGCATCTCTTGCGGCTGCACCATCTTTGAAAGGCTGCTATCCACTCAGACAAGGGTTGGCAGTGCAGTGTGTCCCCTCACTGCCAGCCACAAAACCATGCTGCCCATTGCACACAGCCAGCATGGCTGACACTACTTAACACATATGACTCTATTCTCTCACCCTCATTGCTGTGTAAACACCACAACACGTAGTTTACTGTCAGTAGCAGCATTCTATCGAAACACCTTCTTAAATCAGTATTTCCCTCTCCCCAATGCCCACTGTAGACCTGCAATTTGTCATTGTCTAACATTCAGGCAAGCAATTGGACAATTCTAAAAGTGAGCTTTTATTTACAGAAAGCAAAAGGGAACAAAAATAGAACCAATAGAGAGAGCCTGAAGATCATGCCAACAATGCAATCTATGTTTCACCATCATGACCAACAAATATTTTACTTCCACAATTATCTAATGTACCTAGCTGTCTTCTGGTGGAAGCAGCTGTCAATGAGGCTCTGGTTTGTTGCATGCAATACAGCTGAGCTTTGTTCCAGACAAAGTCTGCTTCCTGTCACAGTGCTTGGGGAGATACAGAAGCTACATTGGGATGTGCCTCGCTCATGCTCAAGAAATGGAGTCTGGGTCAAAAATGTCTGGGCCTCCTCCACATCCAATGCATCCTGAGGGGCTCTACAGCTATAACTCTCCCTGAGCTGTGTGCTCCTTGTCCTCTGTGGCAACTTGTTGCTTCTCACAGATTTGTCATCAGGTCTGGTCTTCCTGTGTTTGTTTTCAGATTCTTAGTTAGGCAGCCACAGCAAGCAACATGCCCTATGGAGACTACAGTGGTGCTCGCTGCCAGTCACTACCCTCCATACCCCTCCTCCCCTCCCCCTCCCCCCCACAACCCCCCCCACCGTGGCCTACCATGCCATCTGATGCTTTTCGACAGTGCCCAATTAACCTTGTGCTTCCCTCCGTTACCATCCTTGTCCCTACCTCAGCAAATGCCTCTGCTTTCACCCGCCAACATTGATTACCCCACCCCTTCTGGCAGTCAGGCCCCTGCTGTCCCTACAGGTATCACCCTTAACCCTCCTGAAAGATCGACAGACACCCAGGACTCTCTACATCCCAGACCTCTCTTTGATTGATTTCCACAAACAGCCTCTAGACAGAACTAACCAGACTCCTAACCGCTGAGTTTACAGTTCCCCACCTGACCACACATTCCTCTGACTGACAAGGCCGTACAAGATTGACCGCTGCCCACTCCCCAGACTGTACTGGAATGAATACCCTGACTGTGAACATGACAAGCAGATGACTGACTGTGGCCAAGTCCCTGGACTGTGTGCAGACTGTACCCATGACTGATGGTGCACGAACCCCTGAAAGACAGGCTATACCTGCCCCTCCTGCCCCTCCTGCCCCCTTAACTGGACTGAGGACTAGCCCCCACCAGTTTCTGACATTGGCAATTTAGTTGAATGAACGTACAGTGTGTTTGCCACGCAGACAGCTGGCACATCTGTAGGAGCTGCATTGACATTTTGGTGTGCCATTTATCAAGCGTCTCTACACACATCTTCCCCTAGTCTTTAATGCTAGCTGCTAGTGTGTCCTTAACTCTGATTCTGTGCTTACTAGATGGCCTGGATGTGTACAGGACAAATGCCATGGTAGCTGTTAGGGGTTGGCACATGCCAGATGTCAATGTCCATGGATGAAGAGTACCTGAGGAGTGCCCATGGGTCATTCCCTGAGCTGCATTTTGTTCATACACAACATGGCAGTCATTCTGAGCAAGCTGAATCGATCAGTTACTCTGGCTTCCATGTTGAGTTGTCTAGCTTGTTTGCTGAGTTTGCAATGTTAGAAAGCTGAATGTTATTGAGGTAAGTTAGGCCATCAATGAGGTGTTTAAAAGCTATAATCCCCCTTAATTGGCAACCTGTCACTGCCTAGCAAGAAACTCGCCACACACCATTTGTGAAAATCATAAAAGATGGAACAAAGAGGATCATGTGTTATAGTTGCAGTGTTCCCACTTCTGAAATACAAAGGCAAGAGTCATGTCATATCTGTCCCAGAGGTGTGTAATAATACATTTGAATCAATTGACTAAAATAACTAAAAGTTGTAGTGATATTCTTTTGACGTTGAGATGGGCCTTGCCAGACTTCTCATCCAATTCTGCCACAAATCTCACCATAACCCACTATAAGATTCTGTCCGTGCTCTTTCCAAATGTCAATCTTGCACTAGTATAGAGAAACAGATGGGGAGAGATAGTACTAATTCAATGATACACACAATGCAATCTGTGCCTTTTCAAGTGTCAGAATTATTAATTATATTTTTTTTAGAAAATTTCATGCATTCTCCACTCATTCGAGAGTGTACTTACTGTTATAGTACTTGGTAGAGTTAAACAGTATTGTTGTGTGTTCTCAGGTGCCCAGTGATCAAACTGTAGTGAAAACAATGTATTTTAGTTCCGTAATTTATAGGACACATTTTCAGTAAAGCTGTTAAGGTCGACACTGATGTTAATGGAGCACATTTGGTGACTCATTTCCTCAGGTTGTTAATGTTCTATGTTGCAAAAGAACGTATTGTGTCCAATTAAGAAATCACTTTGTATTTGTGTTGACTGCTACTTAAATGTTAAAAATTAACAAACTGGATTAGTGCCAGGCTGCAATTAGGTTTATTTCTTCAAGTCTCATCACTCTGCCTCTCGCTTTCTGTCCCTGTTATTCTACTAATTTAATGTTAAATTTGCATCAGTCATCACATAAATTTGACATCAAATTTATGTGATAAATTTATGGCATAATGGCACAGTAAACCATTTTCTTTTCAAGCCAATGTCCTTATAGCACCTCTAATTAGAACTTCAAACTGCAGAGTTTTACTAAGCAATGATCTCTTTGTTACAGGGCAGCAGTTGAATCCTGACCACAAAGATAATGGATTTAACCAAACATTGATGTCTTGTTTCCCTTGAAACCCATTGCAGTCAATATCATGTCACGGGGATGGTCAATTCAATTTAATAATCCTGAAAACACGTGAGGATTGTGATGTGTAATTAACCCTGCCATATGACCGTAATACATGCAACTCCATGTTGTCTGTTGTCTTAAAACGATTTCAGTGTTAACTATTTTATTGATTGGCTGGACAATTGATCAGTGAGCCACAATCATGAATGGGTCTGACCAGTTAATAACAGTCTCCATTTCTTAAAGGCAAGGTGTATTGTGCATATAGCAGATGCTGGCCGTCGTGCAGGAAGTGAATTTAACCAAGTAACATTGAATAGACACAACATGGGGGAAAGCAGGCTCCAATACTTCAGATCCTGTACTGAAGGAAGTACAAATGAAAGAAATTGTCCTATGAGAACAGAAATCCTGCAGACATGTCTCAGAAAGACCAGTTAGCCATTAAAGTCATTGTCATCACTCAAATATCAAAGACAGTGTTGCAAGAAGTTTAATTACCTCATAAGAGTGGCTAAGGTCAGTGAACCTTCAAATGCCATATCCTACCAACAATCACGGACAATGCTCAATTCACCATATCTACATCACTTGTTACCAATAATTTCTATCAATCAGGACTCATTTTAGATATTCACGTGATCCTCTAAACTCTCAGACAGACAGCACTGATGAAAGACAGAGATAGTAGGAACTGCAGATGCTGGAGAATCTGAGACAACAAGGTGTAGAGCTGGATGAACACAGCAGGCCAAGCAGCATCAGAGGAGCAGGAAAGCTGACGTTACGGGTCTAGACCCTTCTTCAGAAAAAGAAGGGTCTGAAGAAGGGTCTAGACCCAAAACATCAGCTTTCCTGCTACTCTGATGCTGCTTGGCCTGCTGTGTTCATCCAGCTCTACATCTTGTTATC